AGGCTATATGATGGGTGATTCACGCTTGGGATAAAGTCCCAGAACAGACCATCGCATGCTGTTTCCGTAAATGTGGTATCATTGGTACGGACGGAGGCGAACGCGACCCGACCAAGGATGTTTTCTCTGATGACCTTCTACAATTGTGTGCACGGACAGGCGTCGCGGATCCGTGTTTCATGGAAGACGTCGAGTGCTTCCGAAGCGCTTCGGCCGATGAGCCTTGTCCTCAGTCAGCGGACATAACGGTTGATGAAGAAGAGGATGCGTACGTGGAGGACCCGCCCAGAGAGCCTCCATCTGCAAGCGAAGCGCTAGATGCCGTCGAAACCCTCGAGTTGTTCGCGCTCACGTCGAGCGCGCTATTGAACGGTGCGCGCGGTGCGCTGCTTGACTATGAGAAGCAGATCCAGGATTTCGTTATACAGGGGATGCTACGAGCTAAGCGACAAAGCACCTTAAAATCATTCTTTTGTAGAGCTCAACGTTGACGCAGCAATGTTTTAAGAGTTCCCTCCATGGACGAGGAATAAATTAAATTGTGCTCCGATTCACGATATCTCTTATCATTCTTGACCGCCAAATTCGGTCAGATACGGATTTCACGTCTTTTAAAGGTTCAAAAATCCATAACCTGAGCCACAGGACCACCTGACTTATCGGACCGAATTTCCGCGGAACCGCGGGCGGTCCCATAGGTCAGGTTTCACTGTATATTGATTGAGGCTCCCTCCTGCAGCGGTGCGTACACGAGGCGAAACAGTTCTTTTTCTTGATTTCCAAACCGATGGAATATCTTCAGCTTCTCCATTCGATTCCTATGGGCTAGTTCTATCTCAGGGAGAAGCATAGGATGGAGGGTATTTCCCCCCATGCTTTCTGAGGAACGATGACCTAGGATTTCCCTCTCTGGAATTCGAAAATTCTCGATGGCAGTGTCCGATGAGACGGAAGCGCAGGGTTCGTCCTATCGGAAAGCACGAATCGAGTTGTCCAAGCAAGTCGTAGCAACAAGCTTTTTGCTGTGGAGCGGAGTTCTGAGCAGCCGTCTGAAATCATGCTTCCGACGCGCCTTACCGAGTTAAGCGCTTGAATTCCGATCATAGGGTAAGCTACTTCGTCCCGCATACAGAGTTTTTTTTGTCGGAGGACTTTCGTTCCAAGTGAGTTTCTGTTCCGGAATCTCCAACACCGGCTCCTGGGTTCCCTCGGAGTTTCCCAGGAAGTCTAACAGGGCTCCTGTCGTTTGAGCCTTCGTCGATGTTCAGGATTCCATTGAGAAGAGCTTCCCAGAAGGAGATTCTCAAGAGATCCTCCGCTAATGAGTACCCAATCATGAACATTGATGTCGGGCTACGGCTTTTCTTGGCGAATAAGTGCTGGCGCACAGTGCTCAAAAATCGATTTCTTGGTGGACAAAATTATTCGGTCGTTTTCCACCCATATCTCAAACTTAAATATTTTAGACCACCCGACACGTTGAAAATGAGTGACGGACGACCCCCAACAACGACGCACCGACCCGGAAAGTTGCGATTTGTATCGATACGACCGGGAAAATTCTTTCGTGGCCGACAATAGGCGAAAACCTAGACTGCTCATTTAGGACCTTTGCCCCGGCTTGCCCCAATTTTTTTTTCTTTTGAGCTCGTCAAGACCTTCGCTTTCCAGAGAGCATCTGCGAATTCGGCGGATTGTTGCGCTAAGGGCTTTGATAAAATTTCGTCAATTTTTCGATGATTTTAGGCCTTCATCGGAGATGTCGGATTATAAGTGGACATGCTTCAGACGAGATGGTCTGGCCTGTCGTAGATTATTTTCTCCTCTCTTTCACTGCTCGTGGGTGTCTCTAGGCGGGGATACCGGGAGGCAGGATTCGCTACAGGGTTTGATCCGCTTCGATGGTGGAGAGAGATCCCCTCTTCTACAATAGCATGGATATAGATCGCGATCGGTGCTCGCGATTCGGGAGCAAAGCGAGTCATCTCGGCGATCCAACCCGACCTCCACCAGTTCGTTTCCAGTATTACCGCCGAAAAGCGTCCTTTCGAGAGCCAGCAGACGATCTTCCGAGTCTGACTCACGGGCAAGCTGGCGCGGTCTCCACTTCTGTTGGAAGTTGGAAGTCAAGCAGAAGACAAGTCGTCTCTCTCAAATCTGCCTGCGTAAAGTTGGTGGGATTCTTCATGAATCACGTCCTCAGGACCTCGAGTATCCTCTCCGCGGGCGAACTGGAGGCCGGAGAACCTTTCCAAGTCTCACGCCTCATTCGGGGAACGGAAATCTATCGGAAAAATCACAGAAATAATTTTGTCCACCTAAAAATTGATTTTTGACCACTGCGCGGCGGCAGAATAATTGAGGTCCGTCAAGCAAGAAAATCCTGTCGTTCCCGATCTTCGACGCTGTCATTCCGGGGCCGTCAGCAGATTGAATATGGATTCGAGCCGTTTGCGAACGAATCACTGTATGTCGAAAATACAGTGATTCCACAGTCGAAGAAGGTGGAGGAGGACGGGAATCACACCAATACTGAAGGTAGGCCCAGACTTCGCATTCTGAGCGGCTTGGGGTTGAGACCAGGATCCGTCACCGACTCCCGGAGCACTGAGGGACCTCCGAGCCTCTACTCAGCAGGCCGCTCCTTGCAGGATCGCTAATAGCGGCTTGCTTCCACACGCTGAAAATCAGGCGAATAATGACTGGAAGAACTCCACACTAAGGGTGATAACTCCCGCCCACATGAAATGGGAGGAATGACGAAGGCCTGGAGGGATCGAAGTCGAACTCTCATTCCAAGTACTTGACCAGCTTCTTGGAAGCTGCGATATCCGACACTTTGCATCCGCTCAGAATGAAATAGTACAACATATCTCCGATGCGAGTTCTCCGAACGCGAGGAGCGGGCTTATCGCTCCAGAGCAGGAACAAACAATTCCATTCCGCGCGAATATTGCGAGGTTTCACGATCCAAGCAGCCGAGCCGGAGATTCTTCGGCCTCGTGCTGTACCCTTAGCCCTCCCCTTGAGCGCATCTCGGAAGTCTCTGGTGGGCACAGTCGTGTCCGGCCGAATCAGACTCGGGAAAATCTCTGAGCTGACCGATGGTCCCTGTGACTCAAGCTGTTCCTGCCATGGATATCTGAAAAACGAGAGAGAAATCCGAAATGATTTGACACCGTGCAGGAAGATCGTGATCGACAGTGGTGCATTCCTTGTCGGTCTGTTGCGACTCTGTTCTGGAGAAGCTCAGGGAACGCACCCCATCAGAGTCAGATTATTTATTGTTCATCGTATCTCCGAGACGGGTCGACCGAAGACCTACTCTAGGACCAGATATATTCGCATCGAGAGCCGCAGAGAGAAAGTTTTGAGCTGGTGCTAATGATAGCCCCTCCGACGGGCTTCTCCGCTAGCTGTGTCAAAAAAATCTGATTCCTCCGGAGGAATTCTGAAGTCGAAATTTTTACTCTCGCGAAAAGTAGCTTCGCCTCATCTGACTCACCGTTCGATGCAATGGAGAGACCCGTGTTCAAGACCGATATGGCACCGGTGATCGCACTCATGATCCCACGACCGAAAACTGAGCGCAGAACACTTTAGTCATGACAACTGATTCGAAAGCCTGGCGCTGTAACCCACATGATTGCTCCAATCGGACATACCTTCCAGCAAGTTGTTATTGGTGCTCCACGCCGGACTATCACTTCTCACTCGTTCCTTCGGTCCATGGTGAACGTTCCCATCTTCGAGCGCATAAGATTCTTCCAAAGATTACGGCGTCAGAAAATGCTTGCATAAGGCCGCTACCCCACCCATTCATTCGTTCGTACGCGGAGCTTCATCCTCGCTGTCGTCACTTCCAAGCCAAATGGTTTCGGTTGCACCCGTATTGGTTCACTTCAGCGATAATCATCCAAGTCTCGTTGAAATCGGGAATCATGAATGCGTCCAGCAAATTTTGATACTTACGGGCAGCACAAGAGCTGAAGAGAATGGCAGGGAAACAGATGATGAATAGGAGCATGATCGGATCGCCGGAGTCAGTTCGGAAGAGCAATGGGTCGAAACCCGAAAAAATGAGCGTCGTGGCTCCTTTCGCCAGATATAAGTTTATGCTTCTCTCACGATTGGACCATAAAGTGATCTCGGAGGAGACAACGATAAGTACGCCAGAAATTGAGCCTATGACTTCCTCTTCCTATCACTCATCCCGATTTCCGAACTATACGCACGTTCTGTTGGCTCGGTCTCTTGGGAGCGAAGTCTACCATGAAGCGAAGCTGCCAAGATACAGAAAAAATACAACAGAAAACTACGACCTCACACAGATTTTGATCCATGTGGGGTCATTGGTGTTGAGATAGGAGAAGAGATCGTATAAGGAGAAGCTTTCATACTCTCTCTCTCTCTTCGGATCGGTCAAAGCCTTTCGATAAGGGGTGGTCGCGCTGAATTCAGATGTGTCGATAGAGCTTCCCTGCTAGACATGCGGGGCACACCGGCTTCAAAACTTCCGAATCGAGCATAATTTCATATGAGGGACGGGCTGCCATATGAACGAGGCGTTTCATGTGGCAGGGATATCTGGTCACCTTATCGTAGCCTGTGATACCGAACTCTACATACATGGTGAATGCAGCATAGAGGCGCCGATCCGAACTCCAAAGAGTGTGTCCTCATAAGCGAATCTGACTCGCCGTGCCATCGGAATCATTGTGATTTGTGATCACTGATCTGTACAATCGTTGACCATACAACTGGAAGAAATCTTGGCGAGCTTCTCCTTTATTCTCCCAACCACCCGAATCGTCCGGGCGCTCTCACGCTATTTCTCCCATCGCGGAATCCCTCCTTCCTCCGCGATCCAGGCCTCGTGAGAGTATCTCCTTTCCGACGAGAGTGATTGTCTCGCGCGCGGAACAAGCTTCGCCCTCTCTCAAAGCTGTATACAAGCGGACACAGGGCTTGCAGACGACACGATGCTCGCATCGAAAACACAACACGGAATATAATCGAACGCACGCAGTTCGAAAACCGGCTCTCGAGTCGTTCCCATGTTTTTGCTACTGATGGAGGGATCGTTCTAACTTTTGGCCGTTTCCACGAAGCTCTCGCAATATCGCCTTTGCCGGACTCGATTGCGGCTCTTATGTGCGACTTTTGATTCCGCAGCCAGTTTTTCGGGATGGCAAAAATTCTCCCGCCTCAAATTATCGACGAAGGATCTCTCCAGCAGGGTCGGGTAGATTGCAAGAATGCTCCAATTGTCAAACCTATCGTCTACGGAAATGAAGCCAGGTACGTTGATCGTTGAATGATGCCGAAACCCAGTTCGCCGGAGTGCTTGCTCGTACGATTCTCTGGTGTTTCTCTTGGACCGTTATCCGCGATCTGACTGATACTGAGATATCTAAAGATTCCTCCGCATCGCTCCACGTTACGCAAATACGTGCTTGAGTTATCCCCGCTTGCTCCAACGCGTACCGGGGAAGATATGTTACGATATGTTCCGCCGAGCTGCGACCGCTCGCTCTTTGCTCGTTTTCCCGCTCCTGAGCTGAACACGATCTCCGATGCATTTCGACTTCTGCAGATATTTCGGGAAAAAACGAGAGGGTGATGGACACACTCACGAGTGGAAGGTGTACTTCAAACCATGGCGCAATGAGGATATGAGTACCTGGATCAAGAAAGTGAGTTCCGATTCCCTCAATTGATCGCTTAAGCCCTTCTCGGACACACAGCTCAAGGTCCCGCTGATGGTGGCTGATTATGACGAAAAATATGCGGAGAAAAAGTTGGGAGACATTGAGCCTCTGGCAAGCCACCGGGTTTCGCATTCTCGGTAGCCTGGTTCAGGCTGCGTCTCACCCATCGATTTCGGAATAGCATGGATTCTGACTGATGTTCACCCCCAGGTCCATTTTAAATTACACGAGAGCTACGAGAACCCAAACCGCATCATCTTGGCCCCCCCTTACGAAGTAGCCGAGACCGGCTGGGGAGAATTCGAGATTGTGATCAAAGTCTACTTCCACGATCCAAATGAGAGACCTGTGACGCTCTACCACGTGCTCAAGCTATTCCAAACCGGCAATCAGGTGGAGCAGAACTCGAAGAAACTCGTGGCCGAGACTTACGATGAAATCATTTTTTGTGAACCCACCCTGCAAATGCATCAGCTGCTCACACAGCCGACCGTTCCTCTCGCGGGTCAAGGTGAGAGGTTCCCGCTTTTTAGAGAAAGAACTGCATGTATCGGCCTGCTTCAAAACGGTTTTTGAGCGAATGCCCCTGTCTTGAGATTCGAGCCCCACTAAATCGAGATTTCCATCCAGCGCCAGCCTTGTGGAAACATGAAACGGACCTCGAAGAGAAACGACGCCGGACTCTCGCGAGCATCAAGTCCGCGCAAGTCAAAGTAATACTCCGCCCCTCACTTCTCGATGCCATCCATCGATCTACCGAGCAAAGAAAAATATTCAGGAAGACCTTCTCCATATATCATTCCATGGCCTCCCCATTCCAGTCCACGATCTCTTATTCAAGGGCTCTTTTTGCAGGTTCGCCAAGAGATCGCAGAGTTGAAGGAGAAAATCATGACGACGAGGGAGTCGATTGAGCTGTCCGCTGCTCAGCTACAGAATTGACCTCGCCGCTGATGGATTGAACCCATGTATAGAAACAGAGATCGACGTGACATACGCGGAATGACGAGCAAGCGATGGTGCATCTCGTGTCACGAAGCGTCATTAGGTAGCGAAACGGCTGAGAAATGACGGAATCTCCTTTAATAGATCGTGTTCTTAGACTGACGGAATTTTCTGTTCATTTCGGAGTTCTCCATTGACGAGCTCGCGAGAGCGCGATGGCGCGCGAGGGCCCAGAGTAGTTCGTCTGCCAGGTCCATGGATACACGAATCTCTTGCAGGATGGTCGATACAGTGTCCTCTCAAGTCATCACTTAGGACCGTGCGTCGTTCAGACTACAGGCGATCGTTTTCTACGACGTACTTTGCGCATTAGTCCAATGGCATTCCGCATAGTCTCTTAATTATTCGGGTGATCAGACCGTTTTCGAAAATTCGAATTTCTTCTGGGTCATAGGCCCGTCCCGATCCTTCGATTTGGGCTTCTCGTTCGGAGGACCCGGAATCTGAGTGCCGCTTTGTCTGTCATCCTGTCTACGCTGGGCGTTCTCCCGGATCACATCTCCACGGTTCGCCTGATCTCCCGGGTCACGATGCCTCACGTGTTCCTTCGCCGCTCCTCTCCTAACCTGAGCAACTGGACCGCCGACGATTCCCGCTCTTCGGTCGCTGGTATCGCGCGGCCGCTGGATCGTTTGTCGGGGGTAGTCCCCCCGCTGTTGGCGATTGGAGGTACTGAAGTCTTCCGTGTAGGCCTTCTCTGACGGAGGCGGTTGGAAGGATACTTGCTCCATCCTATTCCCATCGTTCCGTTGCGGCATTGGGCGAGGTTCCGGAGCTCCAGCTCTCGCACGGGGTTGCTGCTCCTGACCGCGATGGCCTTGAGAAGGTTCTTGCTTGGCAAAGGATCTGAAGAGGAACAGTAGATTTTCATCATGACAGAAAACGAAGGATGGGCTAGGTTTCGAGTTTTCATCGATGAGTAACCACCAAAGACCTTCAGGACAAACCTGTAGTAGCCTTGCGTCAGCATTCGTCTCTTTATTCTGCAAAAAAAAACGAAGAAAAGATCTCATCTGAGAATTCGCGATTCCCGACCCGATTTTTATCAATCCTGGGAGTCTTGTTGTGCCGATGAATGTGTGCCGATGCCCCGCTTCGACAGATAATGAGAATCGGAGCTTCATACTCGGTGGCGATCGCCGGAGAGACATTCTGTGGGCGCCCGCCCCGCTAGCTTTGTACGTCTTTGTGTACATATGATCCCGTAAATCACAATTAGGATAGTTCCACACTACCGTATCACTTGCTACACCTGCGTTCTCATTCTGGCGCGTTAGTGAGCTACTCCGCTAACCGGTCGCTCTACTCACACAGCTATCTCCTGCTTCGTGGCTCGAAACTTTTTCCTGACATTGACCAGAGAGGAGGCTGTTTGCCTTGATACCTCTTGAAGTCGCTCCTCCTCCCTAGATAGAATCCGGATCCGACTTTCGATGGAATCCGATTGGAACTTCAGTACCTGGATTTGAGATCATTGAGTGACCTCAAGAGCTCCTTCGAGCTCCGGAGGAATGCTGTCTCGTGTTTCAGAGACAGCTATTGCAGAATGAGGAGGGCTGATGATCCCATGCGAAACCGAGAAATATTCAGTGTCTCACCTTCAATAGGGGCTCAACATTCTCGTCGTCTTTCTTGAAGAAGCTGGCGACGCTGGGATGGTCGACTGGCACTGAGCGCACCTTCTCCCCATGAATGGGACACTTCCCAGAATCTAATGAGAAAGCGAATTCGTTCCGTTACTCAGCAGTATCGTGAAATTCCTGCTCCGGATTTTCATAATGCTACTCACTTGTCAGGCGACATGAAGAGCAAAGGACGTGACCGCAATTCGCGATCTCGAAGGGTCCTGGAGACTGACCGCACGCTTCACATGATAAATACCATAAGGAGTCACGAGCTCCAACCGCACCCTGCATTGCTACAAGACTTCAGCAGCGGCGGAGGAAGCGAGGATATTCCATTCTGGAGCGGGGAAATATTTCCCTCCAGCTCCGTAGTCACCCTCAGAGCTGAAATCAGGTCGGTCGCCGGTAGAGAGCTTGCCGCCCCCGAGAGTTGGACTTCCCGACCGCGCTTCGCGGCGAACAACATCATCGGTATGTCTCTGCTTAGCGTTCCCTCTGTCCCGGCATTATCTACACGGCGACTCACTAACGTCAAGTAGGTGAAGGAGAAGTAGAGCCCTATCAAGATTCAGTCTCACCCCACAATCCTGATGCTAAGCTTCCCCTGCTTGCCTTGAGAAGAAGAACGCGGTGTGACGATATTCTCCTCCGTCCCTGCTGGAACACTTTGCTCCGTCGGAAGATCCGTGAGGAAAATCCGAAAATGCTTCGGAGAGTCAACTTGCTCAGGTTGCTCCAAACTCAAAAATATTCACTCACGATGTAGAAACTCGACATTCGCAGCTCAGATATCATTGTTCGAATTGGAGTTCGCTAGCTCCGAATGGACTCCTGAGGCGACAATTATCATTCTGTACTCAAGAGGGATGAATCTGACACGGTTCGAGTCTACCATGGAACTAGCTCTCAACATATATCGACGCAATGCTCAGCTGCAACTCAGGAAATATTTCTACCAGAAGCAGCCTCAAGTTATTTGTCAGCATCACTATGCGAGTAAAGGGAGGTCGCTTGCTCTCTCCCGCGCTCGAGGGAATATCAATCGAATTGCTTCTGTCTTACGTCGCGCCGTTGACTGTCAAATACTCTTGTATCACCGCGAGGAAACTTACGCATCTGGTTCCGCTCAAGCCTGATGCTCGTATCATGGACTTTCGGTGGAAGTACGTCCGGGGACGGATATGCTGATCGACTCTCCTCAACGTTGTATTCACACTACATGTTTGGACATCCACCCTCCTGATCGACGAGCCCGAGGAGGGAGGGACATGTCCGTTCTCTCATCGCGGATCCGCTGGCAGCAGCTTGCTCACGAAGCTGCACGGGCGGAGATCTCACAATGAGGTCAGACTTCAATATTCCAGCCCCCAGTGAGTCGTGAGCATTCTGATCGGGATCTTGTGAAGCTTCCGTTCGCTAGGCTGCTCGAGATCATTCCTCCCCGCAGTGCATGGAACATGCAGCCTGGATACGAGCTGGTGCTCCCGAATCGAGCGCGATTTCTGCATGGCTTCGGCAGTTTGACTTCGGTCGCTTGCAATTAGTGGAGTACCGATTCCGTGTACACCTCTGCCATACCTGACGTTGTTGACCCATTCGGGGCATCGCATCGGCTGCTGAGCGGCACTATATCAGTTGATTTGAGGCTCCGACCGAGATCCCTAGCAATGGGCAGCCGAACCGCGGCGAGGGATTCTCCTTGAATGCCCGAGACAATTAGGTCCCAAGTCCCAACCACTTCGATGAGCTGCAAGTTCCGCTGATCAATCGCTCCCTATCGCAGGCTATTACGCGAATTACTGCATGACTTTCGAGTGAGAGTCACGCGATCGGGTCGTCGACGCTGCAAGAACATCGGCTCCGGGACGCGGTGATACTGAAAGAGGAGGACCAAAGCCACAGGGAGAAACTTGCGCTGCGAGCCGTATCTCACTAGAGCGAGTTCCTAGAGAATTCAGATTGGAGCCCGATTCCGGGAGGTAATTCATGAAACCCGTCCTTGCCGATGTTTGTAGATTATCCTTAGAATCACATGGTGGTCTCAAGTTCCAATTACGCAGAGCCCTCTCGACTGAACTTAGCCAAGAGCATTGGTGTCCCCGCCGTGATGGAAGTTTTTTTCCGTCCCTGCCAGACAGGAATTCGAAGGGGGTGGCATGACGGTGTCACGCGAGCCTGGGGTCTGCTTGTGCGTATCGAGTTATCACAAGAACGTTGGTCTCGTCGGATTGAGTCATTCTGAGAGGATACGGCAGGATAGGATTTCGGCCTATCTATAGCAATATTGAGCAGGTACAACCTCCCTTCAGTCAGTCAGGGTTCTAATGGGAGGGCGCACGCAACTCATATTAGAATTTCGCTCCCTCGTCTTCAGATAGCCGGTGTGTGAGATTCACACACATGCGCGGAGGAAAAAACTCAACCAACCATCCCGATATCGGCCGGAGAGACTCGCGGCTGCAGCGTGGAAATCTCCTCCCCGACGAAGAGAAAGTCTTCCCGACGCGACGGCATCGGCATCCCAAAGAAACTCGAGCGATTAAATCAAGTCGTAGCTACCGTGGTGACCGTCCCTGGTTTTCCTTCGCTTCGAAGAGTAGGTGTACAGTTTCGAAAGATGTTTTCCTTGTCTGCTGTCGCTTTCATATTCGAGCCGCCCATCCAAAGTTCGCCATCAGATAGCTGTCCAGCTGCTTCGTCCAGAGCAGGTGATGAGCAGGTACGCTATCTGCCTCTCACCCTGTCTTCCCGTCATGACTGTCGGTCCAACAGATGTGGTTGTGTGGAGGAAAGCCTGGCTATTAGTAGTTTGCGAGCCACAGAGGAACTCTCTGAAACTCCACCGGTCAGAGTTTCCAACCCTTCAACGTCCGGTCACGGAGCAGCTGTGGTCGCGAATGAGGGAGGAAGGGCTGGAGAGCTTCTTCAGGAGGGAAATTCATGAGGCCCTAGTCAAGATTCTGTTGGGGCAAATGAGATTCGCTAAAACCGGTACTGAGCAAGGACGCCTTCATAGAATTCTTCCGATTCTCCCACGACTGACTCTGATGAAAGAATTGAATCTCCTCCCGATTTCGAGCAGATCTGAATCTGCCTCGCATAAACTTTCCGATCAACGTTTCAAACGGACGTCCCAATGACCCTTATCCACTGAGCTATGCGTATTGTTTCGTCGCTTTTCGAAGGTGGACGATTCGTTCCTCAAGCCGGCACGGGAAATCTCTCTGCCTTAGCGTTTCCCGTCTCTGCCAACTCGATATCATCCCTCGGACACCCCGCCCAGCAGATGTCGCATCGCGGAAAACAACAATTGGAGAAATCCTATTTTGAGGATACACCGTCGAGGCTGTGCAAGCTCGCATGTACTTTTATCGGGTGCGCAATTCCGTTCACGATATGAGTCCTCCAGCTATATCTGAAACCAGCCGCCTGAGGTGCGGCCTTTGAAAAAGATGCAGCGGAGGAATTTGCTTGCTCACCTCTTGCCCGACATTTTTTCGGCGGGGAGGGCAAATGAGAAAAATAACAAGGTAATTGATCTGAGACGCAACAAAATTTCCGGAGAACTAAATTATTTGCTCTCGTGCGGGCCCGCATACTCAACCAGGTGCAGGAGAGCAGAAACCCGCGTGGAATGCGTAATTTATAGATTGCTCCGCCTTCATTCTCTCTCGTCTTTTCTCGGGAACCTTTCTGCTCTGAGCGAAAGCGACTTTACACCCCCTCCGGAATTTCGAGCTCCCGTCGAATGTATCGCCGAAGGTCGATGAGGTTCCGACGAGTCGTGAGTTCACAGTAGCCGTTCCCGGAGCTATCGACGAGGAATTCCGATGCCAATCATATCCATCAAAGGGAAATAAGCAAGGAACTGAGCACAGCTCTTCCTCCTCGTCCTATGAGCGATCAGGCACCGAATGTCGGAGCCCCGGATGTGATCTCACGTGCTGGGGACTCCTCGAGAAAACAGGGTCGAAAGGAATTTCTGAGTGATCGGGAAAAGGCGCAAAAAGAGTTCCTGATCGAGGCAGAGAAGGGTGCACGCAGAAGCGAAAACTGCTGAACTTGTTCCTGAAACTCTTTCGGGCTCGAGTTCAAGTGAATTTTGATGGGTCCTCCGCCCTCGATAAAAACTTGGAACGATTGTTGAATAGCGTCTTAAACGACGACAGCTGTCGTCGCACACAAATTGATTTCACAACAGGGTTTTAAATATCACAGATCACAGCGCAGCTTCCGCCGTATCGATTTCGCACGAGAGTGATCTCTCGATCGCCAAGATTTCTGAGAGTATACGTAATGGTAGGGAGGCGATCATGCGACTTGTCTCGGAGAATATCGGAAGGTCCTGCTCCTCTCCGCACGGGAACGTTCCGCAGTCCGATGGAATGAAGAAATGACCGGTCTCCGATCTCCGGTCGGAACTTTTTTCGGCTCAGTATTGAAGCTCATGACTGTTGTGAGCGCAGACGATAGGAGAGGCTTTCACTCACGAGATGATTGGATCTCTTGCTAGAGGTAGAGGGGGAAGCTATTTCCCATGGCCGCGCAACGATCCCACACTCGGCTTCACTCCTATCGCCGGTGTTTGTCTTGCTCAGGAATTCGCGCGTTTTTGCGTTTTAAAGTGTTCCTGCTATCTTCGACGGAACACTTGCTTGCTTTCCGTTCATTTTCAAAGGAGGAACAAATTCCCCGTCTGCTTCAGTGAGCTCTCTCGACGGCAGGCTAGAGTCTTTGGAATCCGCTTAGCCAACATGTCTCAACTGTTGCCCTTATCTTCATCCGAAGCCATCAATATTCACATGGCTCCCGAGGCTCGCAGAAAGGAACCCTTCACAAATGGCGCTCACGTGCCGGAGCGAGCGTTCATATAAGCCACTCAGTCTGATGGAAGGTGTTCAGAGCACTTATGCGAATACTCTGAGCACCCTGGACAGACCGCTCAGACGATACGGTTCCCATGAACTGACTATTTTGATGAATGATCGATGAGATTGCGACAGTCATCCTCATTCAGACGATCATACGGTATGAACGAGAGGTCAGGTTCGACGATATCATGACAAATGTTCGATTTTTTCCAGAAAGCTCGAGTCGCTCCCGATCTGATCGAACGGGTCCCTACAACCTGTGCCGCTTCCCAAATTCGGGTATCAAGTTGTTGTCGGAAGTTCAACGACGAGAGAAACTTCCTCAAGAGCACCAAATAAAAACATTGTTGTCATTCGCAGCAAGGGCGTCAAAACCAAGAGAGATTTATGGGACAGCGAAGGAGGCATCTTTTGATGCGGGTCACAAAGACCCAGCTGGCGACTAGCCGGACATACTTTTACACACGCACACTGAGAGGGAGACCGCGGCGCGAAAAAGAGAAGGAGACACTTCCCCGTCATCCTCTCGGCCGGCAAGCTCGTTCGCTCGCACCCTCATCCGATGCGTCCTTAACTGCAGATGGAGCTCCGAGTGCCCGGTCGGAAAAAAATGAGGAAGGGAATCGCTCTTTTCAAAATACTTCACGCAAAGACGTCCACCGCTCCTGACAATCCCCGCTGTCAGTGGTCTTCGCTGAAAGTCGCCGGAAGAAGACAAAAACATATTTCATTCGAAATCAGATTAAAAATCGAGGGCCTCATGATCGGACCGAGCAACGCAACCCAGGGCCCTTCTGAGCGTCTGAGCCGTGAGCCAAGGCTGCGAGAATCGGAGTGCTAATTCGTCGCTCGCTTTATTCGTTTCTCCTCGAAGGAGATTGTCTGTTCTGCTGTCTTCCTTCGCTTGTGAGAACTTTGAGCGATGAGCAGCCAACACGACAATACTCCCACGTCACGGACCCACGAAGACAAGGGAGGCGGACGTCCATCACGTGCTTGCGTGTAAGAACCCGCCAAGAAACTCACAGAAAGCATGTGACATTATCTGCCACTCCAAGACCGACTTTTCCTCCGCCGGACTTTCTCTTCTACGCCTCGCTCTCGATTCCGAGGGCTGGAGGCTCCGTCCGACATCAGGCTCAGAGCATCGGGCCCCGTTTCCCTCGCTGCAAGGCTTCCTTCATCGAGTGTCTTGGATCTCAGAATTGGAAGTATGATAAGAACAAACGCTCCTGACCGCGCGAAGCAGACCTTGGAACCACCGAGAACGGGATTGTTTCAAACGGAGAATAATTGCCGGTCGGGTGGTGACCAAGTGAAACATTGTTAGTCCTAATTGTTTGGCCTTAGCGCGCTCCCAAGTGGATTCGTCCCTCCGTTCGCTCTATCGTCCTTTCCGTTCTCTCAATAGGACGGACAATAGCCCATGGGCTTTGGCCAGCAAATGGCTTTTGACACAAGCTCACCGCTCGCCCACTGGCTCGCAAGTCAAGCAATTCCTTGCCGAGCTGGAGAGGAAGCCCTCGCTTGAGGTGGATTTGCCGCTAAGACTGTATTTTTTCCGATTGTTTTATGACAGAGCCATTATTGTTATTTATTCCGCTCTTTATTACGACGAGCCACAATGCGATGTTGGTGCTCGGGAAGTTCGGATGCTCGGCGAGGTTTCTTTTCGCTCTCGGGACGGAGATGTGGATGACGGATTCGTCGCTATTCCTTCATTGACGCAGAGACCGCGGGAAGAATCGTCTCCACAGACGCTCTCAAGGAGATACCAAGGAATCTCGCGTATGGACCTCTACCCTCTTTGGGGGCTTTCGGAGTAAGTTGGTCGCATACCATCCCAAAAATCACGAATGTGCTGGAATATTCGGCGGATGCTCATTTCGGTCTGCATCGATATGATCCGAAATTATCGATTCGAAAATCGCTCTGGTGGGACTTGACCCAATTAAGATGACCCATCGGTGGCAGATCTCATCGGGATCAGTAGCTGTGAACTTGTCGACATTGATGCGAATGCCGATATCCTCCCCGGGCTCTTCTGGAGGATGATGTTTCATCCTTAGATTGTATCTGGAATTTTTCTCGTCCTACGGTTCGCGTTGGTTCTACTGCTACTGGGGAAGAGGTGAAAGGAAAGGCCCGCCTCTGACGCGGAGGAGAGTTCGTCCACTCAGGCGGGCGGGACCGGTGAGCTCGGGCTTGAGTTTGCTATCAGCTGCTCGTAGGCTTCGTCCCGATCGGATAGACCAAGGAGAATAACGGCAAGGATCCGCCACGAGATGTGATCGAGATTGTGCTTGCGTTCGAGCTCCCGAACGATGCAAGTTGTGCCTCCAGACCACGGCTGCAAGTACTGTCATTCAATAGTCAGCTGAGGCATCGATGACTCCACATATTGGTGTATGATGCTGCGGATTCTGATCCTTGCACTCGTTAATTGGCCGGCAGGTGAGTCGCATGCCGGAGGTCGATTTTCACGAGTTCAAGGAAATGTCGAGTCGTGATCACGCATCCGATGGATATTCTGTACTCCCATCGGAAACTGCGAACGTCGTGTATGATTTTCCTCCTCCGGACGGAGTCGCATGGGTCTCCGTATCGTTGACTCATAGCCTCCTGAGTTGTCATTAGATGATACGAACATCGATAGGTTGCTCTCGGGATCATGCGTTTTCGATTGTGTCGGTTTGCCATTCCTCTCCTCCCGAACGATTCTTGCGAAGGCCCGAATCCACTGCACTTGGATGGGCGCTCCCGGGGATAGCATACGACTTTCAATCATTGGAATCATTGACGCTTGGAGGCATCCCTTTCCAGGATCGCTCGCCAATTGGAACGACTGGTGGACATACGAAGGCATTTCAGGTAACGTCTCGTGGCACCGCTCCACGAATAGCGTTACGATCATGTTGCTGGCTCTGACCTCGAGGCGAGAAATATATATGTGGTTTGGGCTAGGCAATTTTGAGAGGATCCTCGAGAAAATAATCCGAGCATGGAGGAATCTGATACCTTTCACCTACGACTCGAATCCAGCACTGACTTTCCGCTGGGAACATAGGAGTAGTAATTTCTTTTGACTGGAGCATCGGGGTAGCCCGGCCTGCGTTGAGCTTCTTCCCTAACGCTTCATTCTTGTTCCCTCTCCCGTCAGGCCCTGATTTCTGGGGACGTCTGAACCCCGGTCTCTGGGGCTTATGCAGCATGGGGCGACGACAATCTCCAATAAATATTGAACCTCAACATCTCCTGTTCGACCCAAATCTCCAACCGCTACGAATTGAAACAGGACGAGTCGGTGGGGTGTGTTTGAATACAGGACAAGGCGTGGTCTTTAGAGTGAACGAGAACTCGTTTGCGGAGGATTCAAATCAGACGTCGTCGTCGTCGGTGCATATCGCAGGGGGACCTCTCGCTTATTCGTACCGAATCTACGAGATCCAGCTCCATTTTGGACGGAGCGACCGCGGCGGATCAGAGCATTTGCTGGCGGGGACGGCTTTCCCTGCAGAGGTCAGTCATCGACCTTGTTGGCTCCGATTTTTTTTCGTTCTGTCAGTGAAGTCGAGATTTTGAGACTGTCCCGTCAACAGATCCAGATCTACGGATACAACAGCGATCTTTATGCCGACGCATCCCAAGCGCGGGCGAGAGCGCACGGTATCACAGCTGTTGCGGTGTTCGTGAGGATTATTCAAAACGCATCAGCAGCTGACGCTGGCACGTCGACGAACACCGAACTCGATGCTCTCACGAGTAGTCTCCAGTACATCCTGCACAAGGGTGATAGCGTTTCGTTGCGATCCTTGTCAGTCTCGGATCTGATTCCCCCAAAATCTTCGATGATAACCTATGACGGCTCGTTGACCTCGCCAGGATGCGAGGAGACCGTCAACTGGATCATCCTGAACAAACCCTTGTACATAACACAGGATCAGGTAAGATTTCGGAGACTCTCGAAATCCGAAAATCTTGTTCCAACTGAGCCACCTGTTGCCTCCGTCAGTCACCGAGCACGATGATCGCCGAGCCGCGGCACCTTCCGTGAGATTTTGTTCCTTTCTTCAGTTAGGACAGATGCGTAAGCTGAAGCAGGGCGAATCATCAACCCCAATGGCTCCCCTGGGCGACAACTTCAGGCCGGTCCAACCGCTCTATCGCAGAGTAGTCAGAACCAACATCGACCTGTATCCAAACAGCGAAACCATCGACAATCGCGTAGAGCCCGCGTGCCCATCGATGAAACTCAAGAAGTTCTACCAAGGTGAGTGGGCTCCATGTGACTCCTTTCCGCCGTTCTACGTCTTCGAGAGTGGGAACTCTCAGGCAATGCGAGGGGGTATGAATCCATTCCAGTTTCACCGGAGGTCCTCGCTGGTGCCATCCCAAGAACGCTCACAACATTTTGAAGCCATCGAGAAGCTGTGATCATTTTCTCATCACGATGGAAAAGTGCCATTTCCATGGAATCAACCACAGTGTAGTTCATCCGCAAATCATCTCCTCCGAAAAATAAAGACTCAATTTTGTACCACTTCTCTATGCCTATCGATTCTGTTTTTCGTATCGTATCATACTTCAAGCAGGCATACACACGACAGGAAATTCTCTCCAGAAGATGAAGTTGCATTGGACAGGATTCGAAGAACGGAATAAGCCCGCGACTCGTGCTCGCCCAGGCTCAAGCCGTTAGTTTCTCCTGTTCGTTTAATCGCATGAGCTAATCGATTCGTTTGGAATGATCGGGGACACACATTCTTTGTCCTAGATCCTCTGCCTTTGCGGGTATGCTCTTCCAAATCAAATCTTCCAGTCTCGAGATTCCGATTGCTTGATTGATCACATCGATGGTCCTCGCGCGGGGCGTGTTACTCCGCGAAATAACCTTGGAGAGGACAAAGCGGGCACAGAACGACACTCCGGAGGAAGTACGCTCGAGTATAATTTCCCCGTACTCAAGACGAAATCAGGGCGGCCGCAAAAGCCGGAATTCGCGCTCCTTCGCGGGGGTAGGCCGATGGGAGAAGAATTCACCGAAAAACTCGAGCGCCGCCAATCTGGACTCGGGAGAGTCGCGCCGAAAAACGGAGTAGGGGGTGTCGCGGAATATCCGGGCCTCCTAATGGGGTAGCCGCCTCATGGAGCTATGTCATCATTCGATCGTACGGCTGACAATGAGAACCAGATCGGCTCCGGGGGGAGGGGGAAAATCCAGAGGATGCCCGCCCCTTCAAGTGGGACACGACTCAAAGATAATAATTCAAGGACAGCAGAACTCCTCGCATCTCATATCTCACAGTGCTTATCGATCTTCCACCGTCACGGATTAGAGGCTTGAGGGAGGCGGAATCACCGCTCAAATGAGGTTGGTTATTATTGCATCGAGACCGCATTCTGCGCCGAATTCCCCAAGAATTGCTTCGCAACGAGGATCAGGGGAGTTCAGAATGAGAAAAATGCAGAGTCGTCGTCGCGAATTCGAGCAGGATTTTGAATATGGGCGTAGTTTGTTCGCACGCAGCCGTCACTTCAGCATGTTTGCTCGAATGTCGTTCGCTGCTCCACTCAGATTCTCCGCACGGTCATTTTGAAGCGGGAAATGCCGACAACATATATGCTGAAATGTGCAAACTCGACAACGTAAGCGGTGGTATGTCGCGCTCGGTGCCTACAAATGGATTCGTCCTGTTGATGACTCGCGACTCCAACCTTGGCTCCGTGGAGGGCGACCAGCTGGTTGAGCGACGTCGTCGTCGTCGGCAGTGCAACCCGCGATACGCTCTGGACAGACGGTTGGGTGTTAGACGAAATGTTTTGGCAAATCTCGCTGCGGTTTCGTTTTTCAACAGCCTCCCGGCCGGCCTGCAAGGGAAGCGGATGGGCTGGATGGCGAGCAGAGTCAACTTTTCCACATCGGTGGTCGTGGCGCATTGATTCCCACTGAAAGCCCTAACGTCCGAAGCGCAACATTACCGACCCGACAGCCGTATATCAACAGGGAGAACCTAATCGAAATACAAGTGGCTCCGACTGAGAGGACGAGACGCTCAGACGGCCGGAGAGATTCTCCGCTCGTAAATCATCCGAGCGGAATCTTTTTCGTCCGAGGATGCCAAGGGCAAGCTAGCGACCCTTTGAGGAAATCCGAATACTATGAAGATCAGGTCAAGAGACCGGGGTCTCTCGAACCCGGAGAATTGGGGAAAGCATATAATTCCGCTCCCCGACAGAGGGTAAATTTTCCTCTTTCTCCATCAATATCTCCGCGCTTGAGAATCATCCAGATTGGACTTGTCGGGGATATTTGTTCGATTTAGGATCGGCTCTGCGGAGAAGAATTCATCCGAATCATACCGCAACAAACCCGAAACGAATTGATTCACTTCGTATTTCCCTGGAGATGCTTCTCCGATCTTTTCTTTGTGTCCTCCGCGGTGGGCTCAATGTCTATTCCATCCATATTTGTGGAGTCTGAGCTCCTCGATGTCTCGTAGGACCAGATTGGCAGTGGGACGGGCGCATATTCAGAGAGAAATCTCTTCTGCCTCTCTCTCGCACGCATATGGAGCTTGTCCGCCATGCTGGCAATAAGATGAGAATTTACATCTGAATGAGAACAATGCGGAGGCGAGGTCATTTGAATTCCCCCATCCGGACCTCGATGTGAGGTGAGAGTTTCGGAATGAGAAATGGATTCTGGAGATTTTGTAGGCCGAAAACTCCTTCAGAGCTGTCCTCGTTCGGTTTCTGAGTCGGATGCGGAGCTTTCGGAAGCCAGACAATCCTCCCTTAGGGAGGGAAATAACTCCTCACGATGATAGACGTAGAATGGTCAGAGCTGAGCGGGGCATTGCGGCCCTGACAGTGTCGAGTTGAAACACCGGATGTCTTTTGACAATTCTTCTTCGGTTTCCTGACTCCGCGCTGTTATCCGTCTTGGAAGACAAACTTTCATTCGGTGTGCTCGGTCTTTCAGTCGCTTTATCATCGCGCAGGAGTCAAGAGGAAGCTTCGGTTCCGTTTATCGCTTTGATAGCAACAACAGATCCTGCGGCAACAGCAACTTCATACAAGAGGATACAAAGAGGGATCTAGATGCGCTCTCAGACACCCTGCGACTCGTTGGTTGGCGAAGGTGTCATGGTAATCGATGGTATTCACAACATTCGACTACGTATCATCTTTCCGCTTTTTCTAGCCTAAAAGGCCCGCGAATTCCAGAGCGTGCCGAGCAGTCAGAAACTCCATGCAGGGAAAACGTCTATCCAGACGTAGTAGACGAGCATCTCAGGGCAACCGTCCGTCGCGAGCTCCTACGGCTTCCCGACCCGCGACGTGGCGGGCGAGAACTCGAAGGTGTCTTGGCTAATGAGTTGAATAAAACTGCGGGAGACGGCAAGCCCTATCTTGTTCGACAGAGCTGCCGCTACGGAGCGGAGTAATTTGCATTGGCAACACGTCGGCTGTTAACTGTGAACCGAAAAACGTCAATTTCCTCTACTTTGACTTCGAGGATAGGGACACACAAAGCGGATTGAACCGAGACGGGAAGAGAGAGGAATCCAGCCTCACACGAGGCTAATGTATTTCTTTAGATCCTATTTGCATGTAATTATCCAACCGTCGCTTGTTGAACAGGACACGTAGGTCTCTATAATTTGCCTCGTATGAGGTCCGTTAACGCGAAACTCCCCATAGAACACCAGGGATACGAGAGACAGGAAATTCAGAATTGAACTTGGGAGTAAGAGCAGGACTCAATGATTCACTTTCCAGCTTCAATTGAGGTATCAGAAGAGTCAGGTCATGATGACGGGGAGATCCGTACTCGATCTGTCATCCAGCGCGGAGACTGCAAAAGAGTATCCGGAGAAGGACTTCGCGCCTGAGGTTGCTGGTCCGAGCTCGTTGGGTTGTACACTGCTGTAACCAGGCATAACAATGAGCTCTTATGTTTGCCTTCGAGCTCACACCCTGCGTGTGAGTCACGGAAACACCTCGTCAATTGTTGACTCAATCGAAATCGAGTCTCGGCAGCCTGGCAACTCTGTCGATGAGGTCCTGAACGAGCATATTGTTTGACATTCCGTAGTCTTGAGTAAGTTCCACTTGATTGAAACACGATCGAAACCTTACTCGAAATCAACGTCGATCACTCGAAATATCCAGGTTGAACGCGGACCGGAGGATTGGACTCGCCGGCGGAGCAGCTTTTTGCCGGTATCACCTTCTGACTGGCTGGTCTGAGATGTGGTTGACTGAGATGCTTGGGAGAGGATTTGGCTCTTTTATTCGAGTCCGCTTAGGTTTGCCATTCATCAACTCGTTCGGTCAAGGATGTTTCAACATTCTCGAAGCAGAGCCGAAGCGGAACTTCTACTGATAACAATCTACCTCTTATTCGCTCCCTGGCGCTCTACCACCAGCTCGGATCATGACAGGGGAGCTCGTTTCCGAGTGGTTCATGAGGCACCGATGGACGCATAGGGGGGATGTATGCTCAATCGGGGCTTCTGATGCGGGATCGACGCAAAGCGCCATAGAGCTCATCCATCCCGCGAGAACTCCCGAGACAAGTGTCGAGCTCGGGCTAGACACTTGTCTCTTGAGCGAAAATCGAAAGAACGGGCCAGCAGCGGCAGCTGTAGCCAAAGAGCTAGTCATCGTGGTGCGCACGCCGGAGTGCATGCAATATTCTGAGACTTGTCTCCGTGGACACAGTTTGACAAATTGAGCAATTGTCCCCTTTGTTCTAAGCTTTCTTTGTTCCACACTAGCACAACAATAGAGGAGGACTGGCGAGTTCCTCGATCAGCTCCGATCGAAGAATCCTCCCTCCAATGCGGACACGCGGCGCCACCGCCGCTTCTCCCGGGCGTATTTTGGCCAACAAGTGGATACGTTTGCTGAGGTCGATCAAAATCTCCCCAGTAGGTAGCGGTTTCCAGATGAAGAAGACGTCGGGATTCTATGATGGAATTGTAGGGAGACCCTCGTAGGAAGATACTATTCCCGACGTCCTCGCCTAGAGAATTTTTCGCCTGTGTGAAGCTCCACACGATCACGAGGTACGGGTTGGAAAAGAGCGGGACAGACCATAGATGATATGGCCGTGTTGATAGCCGAACGACGGCATTCGCCTCGCCTCCATGAGTCGGTATAGCTGAGGTTTCGATGCCCGCGGGCTGATGACTCCGATAGCCTCAGTGAATCTAAACAAGGAGAGAGGACAGAAAAAAGCTGCCAGGTCCCAGTCAGGTCGAAGATAGGCAGCCGGAGGCCATTGGACGGGGACCGTCGGCGTCGTCAGCCTTTGTGTCGATTTCGCAGCGAATCTCGGGATTTTTTCCCCGTGCATCCTTTTGAATTCTGCGCTTGGCAACAAAACGCACGGTCCAAGAAATACGAC